AGTCGCCGGATAGTGGGCGCATGTCGCCTTGTACAGCTTCCAGCAGCGCACACTTGCGGCCTGGGTTTTTTACGGGCTTTATATATATATATATATAGCCAGATTAATACGAAGCACATAGGTATAATATATTATAATCTAAAATACAGCTGCAAATGTGTGCCGCGACGGCAGAGCAAAGCGGAGCGTGACGCTTCAGGCTGCAAAAAAAAGAGTGCGCACAACAGGTTTTGGTTTTTAGGGTTTAGGGTTTAGGGTTGAGATTTTACTTTAATGCAATTGTTCAAGTATTTGATTCATAAAACCCTAAACCCACAACGCTTGAACCCAAACCCTTAATCCCTTATCCCTAGGCTTGAACCGCTAAGCCTTAAACCCCAAACCCTCGACCCTAAAGCCTTAAACCCCAAGCTGCCAACCCTTAAGCCTCCCCCAAACCCGTATCCCCCCCTCCACCCTCTTTTGGGCGGGCTTCGGGGATGTGGGGGGGGGGGGCATGGGGGGGAGGCTTGGGGGGGCGTTGGGGGGGGGGGGGGGGGGGGGGGGGGGGGGGGGGGGGGGGGGGGGGGGGGGGGGGGGGGGGGGGGGGCTGGGGGGGGGCGTGGGGGTGGCTGGGGGCTGCTTGACGGGGCTAGGCAGGGCTGGGCAGGGCTGGGGGGAGCCGAAAATTCCAATTTATATATATAAATTGGAATTTCCAAAAACGGAAATTCCAATTTATATATATAAATTGGAATTTCCAAAAAAAAAAATCCAATTTATATATATAAATTGGAATTTCCAAAAAAAAATTCCAATTTATATATATAAATTGAAATTTCCGAAAATGGAAATTCCAATTTATATATGTAAATTGGAATTTCCGAAAATGGAAATTCCAATTTATATATGTAAATTGGAATTTTCGGCTCCCCCCCAGCCTTGCCCAGCCCTGCCTAGCCCCGCAAGCACCTCCCAGGCGCCCCACGCCCCGCCCACACCACCCAACCCCAACCCCGCCCGCCCGCCCCGCCCCGCCCCCGCCCACCCCCCCCCCCCCCCCCCGCCCCCCCCCCCGCCCCCCCCCCCCCCCGCCCCCCCGGCCCCCCCCCCCCCCCAGCCCCCTCCCCAACGCCCCCACCCCCAACCACGGCGCCACCACGCGCCCACCCACCCCGACCCCGCCCCCCCCCCGGCCCCCCCCGGCACCCACAGCCCCCCAAACCCCAGCCCCAGCCAAGAAGCCTACGCCCCCCAAGCGACCGCCCCCAACCACCATGCTGCAAAACCGCGTGAAAACAACAGCCAGGCATCCCCCACATCTGCGGGCAAAATCTGGCGGAAGTGATGCGCCACCGAGCAAAAACTGTAAATACTGCATTAAACAAAATTTCACGCATCTGTTGGCAACATCTGGCGGAAGTGAGCTGTGAATCACTTCCGCCAGATGTTGCCCCGTCAACAACCAGCACACCCTCACACCCACAACCCACGCCGCACATCATGCCGAACAACCGGCACAAAACATGCAAACCCACCCCGCGCCCATTCAACCAGCAGCCAACGCCCAGACACCCACAAACCCTAACCCTGAACTATAAACCCTAAAACTCCAAACCCTCAACCCCCTAAACGCCGAACCCCAAACCCCAAGCCCCTAAACCCTAACCCTGAACCTTAAGCACCAAACCCTAAACCTTAAACCCCTTGAACCCCAACTCCTTAATCCCTTATCCCTATGCTTGAACCGTTAACCCTTAAACCCCACATCCTCAACCCTAAACCCTCCAAACCCCAAGCCGCCAACCCTAAACCCTAAACCCAACCCTGAACCGTATAACACCCTATATAACCCCAAACCCTAAACCCACACCCACCCGCCCACCCAAGCAAGCAAGCAGCAGCACGACAGCATCAACGTTAATGGCAACAGCACAACAACAACAACAACAACAACAACAACAACAACAACAACAACAACAACAACAACAACACTAGCAACAACAGCAGCAGCAACAACAACAACAACAGAAACTCATGTTATAGTGGTTCACCATGATATTTATTTATAGATGTTAGTTTTACATATAATTAACACTAAACAAAACCCTATTTAGTTCGTCATGTTGTAGGTCATTCTTGTTTCTACATGAGTATGATAAGTTGATTCACATATATCAATCTATGAATTGCAGGCGAACCGTAAGTATTACTGTATAATACTACAGACATAATTTAATGTTGGGGTTTATACGGTCTATGGAGCCCAAGGTTTAGGGTTTAGGGCGCGGGCAGCTGAAACCACAACTTTTTGGCTACTGGCGGACTTTGGACGCTGCTGTATACTGCCACACAGGACACACATCTGCTGGCTTTCGGTCGAAGTGATATACACTGCTTGCATGATCGACGTATAACTGCTCTTCCACGCCGCAGGTGTGGCCTTTAAGACTATATACAACGGCGAAGCACGCCCTCAAGCTACACGGCGGCAAACGCCCTTTTTAGACTCAGTCGCGGTAACCGCGCTCCCGGTAGCTCTGCCACTGACGATTCTGCATGGCAGCCTTGACAGGAGGAGCGTGCTTGTACTCCTCAGCCATATCGCGAATCTCGCGCGCCTGGCTGTGACCAATCGCCGTGCAGAGGCGCCTGAGCTTGTCGCTCCAGCTGTTGGCCTTGACGGGCTCCACGCGTGCAGCGAGTTCATCCGAAAACCGCTCAGCCAGCTCCTTGAGCTCCCTCGCGACACCAGCGCGCTCGTACGTGGCCAGCAACACAGCGACTTTTGTTGCGCCTCCGCCACGGTTCTTGTCCAGTGGCTGACCAACTTGTAGATCCACCTCACGGCCAACGTAGCTCTCGCGATGACCGCGCCCTTTGCCGCTCTTGCCGCCTCTGCGATCCGACGCACCAGCATTGTCCGCGGAGCGCTGCGCTCGCCCCCATGCCTCACACGAGGAAGCTGGAAAAAGGACATTCCGCCACGTTGGGCGCTCCTCCCGCCCCGTTGGGCGCTCCTCCCGTCCTGTTGGGAGCTCCTCCCGCCCCGCTGGGCGCTCTTCTCGCCTCGTTGGGCGCTCTTCTCGATCAAGGGGGCGCCTGTCCCCGCGCCTGTCCTCGCGCCGCTCCTCCCGCCGTGCACGGCGCCGCTCTTCCTCCTCATCCATGTCCTCGCGCTGCCTGCGCCTGTGTGTCTCGCGAAGATCGCGCATCCGCTCTTCGTGTTCGCGCAGCTGCTCTTCCATTTCCACGCGACGAGCGCGCGCATCCTCCTCCATCCGCTCGCGAAAGCGTTCCCACTCCTCGCGCGACTCGCGCTCGTGCCGCCTTTGGCGCTCTGCCTCGTGCTCGAACTCCCGCCGCAGGCGCTGCAGCCGATCCTCCTCCCGCCGGGGACGGCGCTCCTCTTCCCCTTCATCCTCCTCCTCTTCGGTCTTCGCCCCCCTGGGCGCCTGCTTCCGGCGCGCCTCCACCTCTCTGTCTCTGGCCACCTGCTTCGCCGCCGTAACAGGCGCGCCTTTCTCTTCCACCTCCTCGCCCGAGGAGTAATACTCGTACGAGGAGTCCTCTGCAGCTGATGCACCGTGTTTCACCGCGCTCTGCGACGCGCTCTTGGCTTTCGCGCCAGGCACCAGCGGCGCCTGAAACACACCAGCCTTTTTCAGAGCCTCGTACTCAGCGAGAAACCGCTCTTCGTTCTCTGCAAGTTTCCGCGACTTGCGCGCCTTTTTCAACTCGGCAGCGTGCTCTTCCATGGCCAGGGTGTTACAAAGCAATAAGCTATACTCTGTCTGTGACTTACTTATGTATATATGATTTATATATCTATATACAGCACATATGTGCTCGCCACTGACGAGTCACAAGTATAGAAATGCATATGTACATGCTAAGTTCAGTGCCAGGGAGTTAGTATAGTCTACAGCGGCAGAGATGTAATTCCAAAGTGGTGCCGTGCTTCATCTCTTGTTTCCCGGTCTGTGAGTTCTGCCGTGTCCGCATGTCTCTGTGCATGTGTGTGTGTGTGTGTGTGTGTGTGTGTCAGTGTGTGTGTGTGTGTGTGTGTGTGTGTCTTGGCCCCGGGGCGCTTGCACTGTACATGAGAGCGATGAGAAAGCGGCGCCGGTCATATACTCCAACTCAAGTGCATCACGCGTGATGAAATCCTTCTTGGGAAGTGCACCTGGATGGGGTATAATAAAATCGTTGCTGGGAGGTGCTTGTGCTGTTCTGAAGCAACCATGCAATCAACCTGTCAGGCAGGGGTACATATAAGTCGTTGCTGGGGCGTGCTTGCACTGTTCTGAAGCAACCTGTTCGCCTGGCTTGGGGCATCTTGCGGTGCGCCTGCAGCAACCAAACCTGGCAGCCACGATTATGGGGTAAAGTTGTCGTCCCGCCAGGATTGGGGTAAAGAGTCAACCAAACAACCTGTCAGCCAGGCTTCGGGCTAAGTCGATGTTGCAACAACGACGTTGTATACCTCCCATGGAAGGTGCTTGCGCATGTTCTGAAGCAACCAAGCAACCTGTCAGCCAGGATGCGGGGTAAAGTCATTTTGAGCAGGTTCTCGCGCGCTGCAGAAGCTGCCGTGCAGCGGGAACAAACTCCATTCTACACGAATTTTGGTTTGGTAGGACATGAATCTTAATAAAATCATAAGGTGCACCTCCCAAATTCTATAGTGCACATACCAAATATTGTTGGCTTAAAGCCTAGATCATAACCACTATAACCCTCTACATAACCCTTTACATAAACCCTTCCATAACCACTTATGTAACCATTTATGATAACCATTTGACAACCCTTTACTAACCTCCATAACCCCTATAAGTCACTAGCTAAAACCCGGTCCATTAAAGTGGACGTGCCGCAACATCGCATCGAAGTGTGATCCAACGACCGTCCGGCAATCACTGCATGCAACTATGAGTAAGTCAGAACCTGGCGCAGACGGTGCAACCTGCAAAGCCCTCTGTCAACAAGCCACACTGTGAGATCTTTTGCCGGTCCCCTCAAGCCATCTGGATCGGCTTCGAGACGCGCCAGACCTCGTGCATTGCACATGACAGTGGACTACGGGGCTTCGACACCTGCCTTGTGCATCTGCCACTCATCCCGGACCTGGCGCAAGTCAGGCTGGACCGGAGGGACTCAAAGCCTTGTGTCGGGCAAGAATCACCTCGCCTCCTTGCGCCACGCAAGAGGCCAAAGCAAGTAGACTGCCTGATTGTGGGCGACAGAGAGAGATGTCGCAACAAACGCGCTCTCGTCGTGCAGGTAGGCCCTGTGTTGCCCCCCTCATGCCCCCTGGTTCTAGGCCAGTGGACGAAAGACGAGTACTCGGCGAGCGCGAAGATCGCCTGCGGGATCCGGTATTTGATGGTGATGAGATGCCTCAGGCTGAAAGGACGACGGTCTCTGGAAGCCGCTTGCTTTTCTCGGCATGGCTGCTGCAACAACTGGCATCCGCCCAGACTTCCGTTGAAGCAATCGAGCTGCTGCTCCAATAGAAGCAATACCTCAGCTGTCAAGCTCATGCATTTGCAGAGAATCTAGTTGAGCCAGAATCGTTGCAACTAACTCGTCGGCTTCGAATCTAGTTTCACATTAAAAGCAGAGCAATTTGTCAAAGCCCTTTCTCATGGACCGTCCTGCTTCTGCCGTGCTTTTCTGCATTGGTGTCGCGACCGTATTGGCCATCACATCACGGCAATGAAAACCAGCATCATACAGGGCCGTGAGCGAAACTACCCAACACCTTCCCAGGCGCAACGAAGCCAACGAGGACAGCATCACTGAGAAAGGTTGAGAAACATAGGCACCTGACGTAGAGGGTCGCACATGGGGCATCTCAAAGGGGAGCTTCTGGGCGCTTGCTTCCTAAGAACTGCCGAAGCACTGAACATGAAGGCTACTTTCACTTTGGGTCTGGAGCTGCCGCTCACAGCGTCGTCACCGCTCCTGCAGGTGTGTCGTGCGCAACCTCGCACGCGCCGCGAGAAAAAATAACATTATGCAAAAACGCATGTAAATGCCCGCGCATATGTCATTGCGCGTGGGTTTGCAAAGGAAACTCGCTGCAACAACACGAGAGCAGCACGCATCATCTTAGCAACAGCTCTCCGAAGTGCAGGGCAGGGTCCCACGCGCAGATTCTATTGTGATTGCACAGCGGACAAGACTTGCGCAAAGGTGTAGTTGGCCACGATTGACACCAGTTGAACTCAGCGTACCCTACTCCTTCAAGCACCCTCATCAACCAGGGCTTCTGTGCCAAGCCTACACTCCACCGATTAACAGTCACAGATCTGAGTTCAGGCCAGGCAACTCGTCCTTCTCGAAAGGACGAAGATCTTAATGCATTTCAGCACCCTGTGCCCATGCACTCCCTCAAGACAGTCCCAAATTGTCAAACAGTCGATAGACCCAGGGGATGCATGCTGCACAACAGATTGCAGACAACAGTTCATTCCCTGAGCACCTCCTCCCGGCTGTCAGAGGTGCACTTCCCGCGGCTAGAGCTGTCATGGCGAAGACCTCAATCTCAGTCAAAGAGCGGTGCATGTTGCTTTTCGAACGGCCTTCAAGGCTTTCCTGCTCTGCCGACACTGATCCATTCAGTAGGGAAATACGGCTTCACAAGAGTGGCCGTCGCGCATAGCAGAATGCCATTTGCTGCATACGACCCGGCTGCTAATCCACCGAGGCCACAGGCCCAGGCGTACCCGCTTTTTGCGTTCGTTTGCTACCCCCTTGTCCGGCTTCCCTTCATTTTACCTGGTTTGTCGGCCCCCCCGCAAGGCCGGAAGATGGCGCTCGCACAATCGACGCTCACCCGTTTCGAGGTTGGGGTTGAGAGGCCCGCCTAGCATGCTGTATACAACATCCACTACCGCCTCGCCCTGCCGCTACAGAGCCGAGGCGGGCGGCGTAGCGTTAAAATTAAACTCATCATTCCCATCAGCAGCTGCTCAGCAGCCGGCACGGACACGCAGGCAAAAAGTATGATTCATTTTCTCTCCATGCACCAAGCCCACTGCATGACAGTAAGGAATTGCCAGGTCTTTCGAGGGGCCATCGCGTGCGCACCCAGCAGGGGTTCAGTACACACACCCCGAGTGCGGCGATGCTTACACGAACTAGTGCGATCCTTGATTTGGAGGTCAGTTCGAGCCAGAGTCAGTGTGGCTAAGTCGACAACTGAAACTGTGCCAAGGAACCATAAGGCACATCGTCAGCACTAGCGATGGTGTGGAGCCCTGGAGCAAGGCCGTGATGAAGCCGCACCTGGGCCCAGCTTAACAATCACAGCTTACTCGATCGCTCGTCTGGGCCATCCTCTTGCTGGTTTGGCCTTCGGGTGGGTAACATCTCAGCGCAAACACTGCCAAACATCATGATCCATGCTTGCTGAGATACAACCTTCGATTCGATCCTTCGTTGAAGCTGACATTATTCCGAGGGCTCGGCGTGATGCTGGTGTAGCCCATGATGCATCCTATCTGCTTTGCAAGAGTGCTGTCCTCCGAGGCAGGAGGGGCAGCAAGCAGCACACGAAGACAGTTTGCGACATCGGCAAGCACACATGTCCTCACACTCAAACGCAATGCAGGGCCGCGTAGCACCTGGAGCAGGTAAGAGCTGAGCCTACTGTTGCCTCGGGCATGCCGCAGGGAGTACGTTGTCCTGGGGATGTTTCACCAGTGGTTCAAAGTCAATGCCGTCGCATTAGTTGCCGTTATTTATTTATATTGCGAATGTTCCACAACACGATTCCCAGGTTGCCAGGCACCGATGAGGGCGAAGGCTGCGACGTGCGTGGCCAAAGCAGGGATGAGGCCCAAAACGACCAGGTAACCTGGCTCACAAGGGTTCAGGATTTAGGGGGTTGGATTTATGGGGAAGTATCCACAGAAAAAGGGACGGAGTGCGAATTACCCCCAGGTCTCGGGGGCCAGGGCTCTCGAGCTGCATGTTCCTTACAGCGTGGGACGATTCGGTTCTTCAACTGCACAACACCGGACGGAGACTGGACGGAGTGTTCATGGATGAGAGTTGAAGCTTGCTGTCGCGACTATATCATAAACCATGCATCGCAAGTCGCGGCGGAAGGCTAGTCAAAGATGCTCACTACAACGACAAGGGGGCAAAGAGGAGAAACTTGGAATGCTCCCCCAGATCTCGCCTCCGGGTCGGAAGTCCGCTGGCCGACCTCACGTCTTAGCACAGGCCAGTCCATCAGCCTCCGTGCGTCTACGAAAAGAACAACTTCACTCTATACTCTATAATTATGCATGCCACGTGCCAAAGGAGCGGCGCTCTTTTCTCCGAGAGCAAACGAAGAATTAGCTAATCAGATTATCGGACAAATCGATTCTGCGAGGGTTGGCGTTGGCGGATTGTGGCCCCCCCTTAAGCGATGGCTGCGGGACTGATTCTGGGGCCTCAGGGTGGAAAGTCCCTGCTTCTGTCTCCCAGACGACCTGTGTCCTGAAGCCATCCCTTCACGGTTCGCCTATCGAGCATGCACTGCGCAAAACCCAAAGGTTCATCCACTACATCAACAGCGCGAAGCTCTCATACGAGTAAAGTCTTCTTGCTGACCCATGACTCAACAGCGGCCAGTGCCAAGCAGCTCCGCACGCTGCATGTGCTACCTTGAACGGCCGGGGCAGGGGCTACAAATGCCATTGGAAAGAGTCGGGATGCGGTCAAGGAATCCAAGACGAACCAAGCCCGTGAACACATTTAGCACCAGCATAGTCCATCAGGAGATGCAGGTCGCAGCAAGAGCTCGCCCGTCTGAGAGCCAACTTTCATGTGCAAGGCACAAGGCTGGCGATGATGGTCGGCACACCCAGGACACCTTCGGGAATTGAGCCGTGCGCTAGCTATATACTTGATGCTCCGGTGCACCTCCGTTTTGCAAATCTCATCTTGGAGCCTACACATCACCGCAGGGCGGGATCACATTCTTCCCTCAGGAAGTTCAATCGAACACAGTTCTGCCAGCACAGCTCACCAAACCAAGCGCCACAATACGCACGGTACACCCCGAAGATACCAGGACGACCACTGCGACCACGACGATCAGGGACACCACCACCCCACGACCACCAGCAGCACCATTACGAAAAGGACCGACCACTGCGACGACCAAAACAACCAGGACCACCACACCACTACCGGCTCTGCTATGCTTTGACACGCTTGGCAACTAATCGTGCGTCGGACTGTGTTGGGAAAACGATTTTCCAAAATGTGCGCCGGACTGTGCTGAGGGCGCCGATTTTGGAGGCGGAAACACTGACACTGACTGTGGATTTAATGTGGACTTGAGCTCGGAATGTGCTCTGCAGCGGAAGCCACAGAGCACCTCCAGTTCACGCAGAGTTATATAACTTGATAACCCCACATATTTTACCACTGTGCTTGAGAAATCTTAGTGACAATGCTGAGGCAAAGTTCCGAATGTCGGACTTGTACTTTTCTTTGTGATCGACGAAGTTTGCCCTTGGCACGGTATGTTCCTGCCATCCACACGTCGCGGATGCCCGGTACACCATTCATCCTGCTTCACCAGCTGAGGCCAAGCCCAGCTTGTGCTGATGCTTTCTGCTGTCACGACTCATGGAACCGTGTTCTGGAAGGTACCCAAGACTTTGGGTTTAATGCCCAACATCAAAAAAAGGCCTGGTGCAGCAAGTAGGTGCTGTGCAACCGCTGGATTCCAGGAGGGTGACAGGCCCTGCCGCCAAAAGGCACAGCAGAAAAGGCATGCAGTGAAGCCAGTTGTTCGGGCTCAGGGCAGTGCAGATCGCAAGTGCTGATTTCTGTGCCCTTCGACAAGAAAGAGCAGGCTTTGGCGGCTTTGGGGTTGCTTCTAGCTCGCGCACGGACAGCAATCACTGAAACAGACACGAAGCAAGGTCTTGCTTCAAGCATGGCAAGTGACTGTACAGTTTCGCAATCCCGCCTGGAAAGACTGAATCGATTTCGACAGGTGCTCTCGCGGTCAACGCTGCGGTAGGATTTGGATTGGTGACAATAACTCGAGATGCGAGATAACACGAGCATAGCCCTGAATGACCTCGTAGCTACCAAGCGGGCCTGAGCTTCTTGAAGGCGCTGGCTTTCCCGCAGCGCATCGCCCTTTGAGACAAATGCATACTGAGACGCCAGCTACTACTTGGCTCTCGTCACATTGCTATCGTACGCTGCTGACAGAGGGCAGCTGTCTGTAGCACGGAGAGGACGTCGGAATTAGCTCGCAGATTCTTCCTGTTCCCTTCTTCTGCTCGGCCTGGTCCCTTTTTCCATGCAAGAGGCATGCTGGCGGCGTGTGTAACAGGATCCCTCAGCTGGCATGGGATGCATCTGTGTGCGAGGGCTGGTGGCCTCCCTCTTCGAGAGATTGCACACATCGGCTCGCATTTTGCGTATCCGATACTTGACAGAGAGGGGGGTACTGTATGGAGGTCCGGCTCCGGCGAGCTCCGAGCTGAGCTTCCGGTGAGGATCTTCGCCTCCTTCTCTGTGGTCGTCCAGTCATTCCCAGAACGTCGAGATCCCGGGCCCTAGTCGCGCTCAGCCTGGCCAGTGCTTTGCCAGAGCATCGGCCGCAGCGAAGACGCGGGCGCGGTGAGCTTCATCACAATGCTTGTGTGTCAGCCTGAGGCATTCGGGCAAGCCTGCATCCCGCATCCCTTGTCCAAGCCGGACATTTCTGCAGAGGCTGAAAATCAGAGGATTTATCTCCGGGAAACTGTGTTGCTGGGACTCCACAGACCACCTCGTCCTTTGCTGCACAGGTGCTGTCACCATACCTTGGGCTTCTGCAGTCTTCGAACGTTACGATCTTCAGATTGTTCGCACAGGTTACAGATATGCGTACACGATGCATCGCACCTCCCAAAGCACCGACCAACACCTGGTAAGTCAGCAGGATTGAAAGGGCGGTACGCAGTGTCAGGTGGCACTGTGCTTCCTGGTTCTTGGCTCCCGAGCAGGGCAATAATTGTCCGGCCCTGCAAACTGGATGCTCTGAAGCAGGGCGCTGGTAAAGGTCCTCAGCCGGGGTGTGCGGTAGAGCCGCGCACATACCACGATCTGTTCAATTCCTGTTTCCAGGCCTATCGCAATAGCGGAAGCACATCGTCGAAGACAAGGCTCCGGTAATTTACCACGAAATGAAGCGCCGACTCCAACACAAGCGGAGAGTAGCCATCCTTACAGCAGAAACAAAGTGGAGTATCACGAATGAAAGCCAGCGCCGCGGCATCTTCCGAGTCTGTGAACTTTGTCACAGCAATGTCTACCCAAACTGTGATAACCAAGGTAAGCATCTCTGTGTGTCGGCGCCGCATCGAAGCGGCCCTCCGATGCCGCCCGCATGACACGCATGGTGTCCGGCGCATCCTAGTCGAAGGCGGCACACTCAACAATTTCTGCGCAGGCAAGCTGTTCGCAGCTTTCACAGGCGAGCCAGGATGTATCCGATGTATAGCCACATTTTCAAGACTGTCCTTTTAATTTTGAACCAGAAACACCATCTCGGGTGTGGGTTCCCAAATCACTTAGTGTGGCATCGCTACATGCATGCTGGATGACCTGCGGTGTAGGCAGGTATTCGTTCTCACACCGACAAGCCTACCTCTCGTGGACAGAAGCTACAGATATCCACTCCTCAGGAAGCCAAGGCAGTGCTTCTCTGGCCGATTGCTGCAAGCTCCTCGGAGAAGCCAGGTTAAGGTAAGGATTCGCCCTTAACTGGCTTCCAGACTCTGCAGGGAGTGAACATGCGGCATGCCTTTGTTGCGGGGTGAAAATGATGGCAGGACTGAGGAGGACTCTGCGACTAGCTGGGCAAGCAAGCCTCCTGCCAACATCTGCAAAGCTTCTTCTGGTGCTTCTGCAAAGTGGCACTCCCTCAATCAAGAAACGGCACAGCAAAGCTGTCGCAACCGACGTCGCCCCAGCCTCTCCGGGTTCGGATGTATCAACAATGCATCTTCCCCTGGCCCCCAGCATCTTCAGCCTCAGGATGGTGGTGCGTGAGCCGTGTCTCTGCGATGCAGGATCCCACCAGCTCTCGGAGGGAGAGTCCTAGGACCGGCGGAAGAGTCTTGTTCTAGGAGCCATCGCCAGCTACAAGTTCTGCTCGTGCACTGCAGCGGGACGAGATGCATTTCGCGCGGGACAGATTCCGGTATGAATCCTCGAGATGATGATTCCATAATAATTATATATATATATACATATATATATATATGTAGGTATCATGAAACGCCAATTAGGAGGAATGTCATGGTCGGCGGGATTACAGCAGCATGTTGACCTCTTCCTTCCCCCTGAGTCTGGGACAACCCATGCTCCCGAACGGCTGAAAAACAGAATGTGCCTTTCGCTTTTTCGGCAACCTCTGTACGCCGTTAGACAAAGCCAGGAGGCGCCGCACTGCAGCGTAGATGGAGTTGCGATGCGCTGGGCTTACACCGGCAGAAGCTCGACGCCGGAAAGCTTGCGCCGCCTTGAGCCACGGTGAACGAAGTAACTGGACACATGTTTGTTGGCAAGCCTGCGAGGTTTGTCTCAATGGGCCCTGCGTGGCTGAACATCGAGCTGAAGACTGGAGAAGACTCACATACAGTACATTGGCCGGCAGGGGCTTTCTGACGCATCGTGTCGGCCAGACGGGCTCCTCACTTCTGCTAGGTGTTTCGCATATATTTCTATGTCAAGTCACATCAACTACAAGCTGACGAGAGGGACAGTGACAGAGAGAGAGAGAGAGAGAGCGAGAGAGCGAACGTCAGTCAGCGCCACTTTGTCAACTCACGCGGATCTTCATCCAACTGGCTGAATCCTAAAATACCTTCCTGGGGTCTGATTGGTCTCTACTTTCGTCGCACAGATTACAGTCTTGCATTCGTTCTTCCATGCTTCCTGTCTGCATGCTGCCCTACGGATACGCTCGATCAGTCCGACACCCAGTTAAGCCCATGCTCTGTGCTCATACTGGCTTGTGATGGATGGCCAAGTAAGCAGCCGATCCCTGCTCTGGCGAAGTTGCACCAGACCTTGTGTTGTGCTTCAGATCATGCGGTAGGGTCTCTGCTGCGTTTAGAGACGGTTCTGCCGGAAGTATATAATACCAGCCTCATCGTTTCTCCTTCGCCCAATGCATCACAACTCGCGGAGCCCTTGTTTCGCCGTGAGTGCTTTCTTCTTTGGAAAGTTTGCGACAGCACGAAAGACAGACCTTTGGCAAAGCCTCGTGGTCCGCGCAGGCCAACAGAGCGTCATCATCAATAGGCCTTCCGTCCTTAAGAGATTTCGACGGCAAGACTTAGAGTTCAATGCAGGCGAAAGGCTGACGGCTATTGCTACCAAACGAGCTACAAAGTCTGAAGCTAGTCAAAACTGAGAGGCAGAGAGGCAGCTTTCCACCTCAGAGGCGATTGTGTCGTGAGCTTTGAATGCCTAAAGACTAAAGAGCAACCAGGACAGTTTTTGGCGATGACAGCCTTCATGACTGACGATAGAGCGGATCGTCCAGTACTTGCAAACAGGACTCAAGGACAAAAAGCGACTTCACCGGAAGTCGCAAAAGCTCGGCTGGCATCCAAGGTGCAAGTGAAACCTTGTAAGCTTGGGCAGCCAAATGACCCAGTCGCGCACTTTCGGGATCACCTGCTCGAAAACGGTGCCGGTGTCGAAAGCGGCCTCTGCAGTCCCAGTCCCAGCGGCAGCGACGCGAGGGCGCTTTTTCCTGGCCTCGGGCTCCGGCGGCAGCGGAAGCTCGGCCTCGGCCCGGGAAGCCCAGTGCGCGGCGGCAGATCCCGGGCTTTCCCAGCTGATGTAACCTGAGCCGCTAGTGCTCTCGGCCGCTGTCGCTGTGATGAACGGGCCAGGGACGACGAAGCCCCGATGCGACGAGATTCTCGGAGTGAGCTGCCTCCCAAATTGAGAGCGAGACTGTCGCAATCTTCGGCGAAGATGCTCGACAACCAGCTTCACACAGTCTCCCTTTTCCCTCGAAGCTGCCGTTAACCAATTCTCACCTTCTCTGCCAAATCCACGCCTCTGCCAGGCGCAAAGCCAGGCGCTGGGGGCCTGAATTCAATCAAGCCGCCACGCTTGCGATGGACTTCGGACTTGCGCTCTGAAACCAGAGCAAAAGAGCCCCACCGGCATACAGAGTGTCTCAAGGAAAACAGATGCCTCACGGGCCAACAATCACACCATGCCCTGGTCAAGCATGGGCATCCGGGAGTCTGCGAAGTAGATACTATTCAACCATAACACATGTGTTGACATCACAAGGACAATTCGGGCTGCCTCCATTGCGGTCACCGGCGCAAAGCCCTAGTAGCAGCCCTCGACAGCGGTCCCGCGGCGAAGCCATGGAAGACTGTCTACATCGGAAGCGTGCGTGCTTTGTGGCCTTCTCATTCTTCGATGATATGAGTTTGTGCAGGTTGGTGCTGTCATGCATATTCAGTAGATAATGTATACTCAGTATATTCACATTTTTCATCAGACTTGATGTTGCATGAGAGTGCCTGGATCCAGAACCCGAGAATACTTTGGCGCCGGAAAGTCTTTGGTCCTTGGTGTGTGGCGCAACGGCCTAAGTAGTTCTGGAGGCATCGTGCAGGATAACCCTCCGAGCCTGTCCACCCTGTGCGATGATGTCGATGGTTCGGACAGAAAGTCCTGCTAGCACCTCAGCATTTCAGCTCCCTACTTCGTGCCTCCGCTCTTCACTTTTTTGACGACCTGCAGTCCCGCAATGCTTTCCCGCGTGCTCGCGCTGTCAAAGCCGGTATTTCGGACAAGATGCTGTCCGGCAAGCCACAGGTACGACGTCTTTGGCCGCTGAGGAGAGTGCCTGTAGGCAAAAGGGCGGTCCGGCAGCCATACTTGTTCCTGTGATCAAAGCATACATAGACAGACCGACAGTCACGGACGGACGGACGGACGGACAGGACAAACAAACAGACAGAAATCGACACCATATGTATCTACAGACATCAGCACCTTGCCAAACAAGTTTTGGAACGATAAGAACTGATGAACCAAGAGGTATATTGCCAACAACGAAGCCAACCACAGTGGTACATCTGATGAGTGATACTGATGCGAAAAGCGCCATAATGATGGCAAGTACAAAAGCAACAACTCGGCACACAGAATGCACACATGCAACAGAATGCAAAACACACATAACACACACACACAAATATGCTAGGAAAAGCCACTGCTCCGGTTCAAAAGGTACTTAGAACTGGACTGCAGCAGCAACAGGGTGCTAACACTCAGAAGGCCCATACGCAAGGGCCTACCGGATAGCAAAATGCGAAAGAGTCCGAAACGATACCGGCAACGTTGTTCGCGTGGTCCTAGTCCTAGCAGTAGAAGCTGCAAGAGAAAGAGCAGTAGTAGCAGAAGCAGCAGTCAGAACAATTGGTTTTCCATATCGGCCTGAATGCCAGCCGTTTCAGTACAGCGACATGTCGTGCTGCATTGGATGGAGGCTTGAAGTGAGATGTTGCAGAGGACGCTGTTTTCCCCTTACCCCCTGCCTTGTCCTAACCCACAGCACAAATAACGCGATGTTTCCATTCTGCTGCTGCTACACTCCGAAACCAAACCAAAAAGCAGTACACAAGATGCACATGAAGTATCGTGAACGCGAGGCCGGCATTCGTGCTATCGAGGGATCCACCTGAAAACAAAGACCACCACCACCACCACCACCACCACCACCACCACCAATATGACCACAACAACGACAACGATAACGGCAACAACAGCCGTGAAAACCACGTACACAAACAGGCAATCAGCGTGACAAGTGTCTGCACAGTCATCGTCTGAAAAGCACAAGCATGCATACCTACGACAACAGAAGAATGCAGCAAGAACAAAGAATTGCACTGCATGCTGGCAATCCCATGTACAGCAACAGCGACCCAACTGTAGCCATAGTGCTATCACCGAGCATGGCAACAAGTGTGCCTACTATTCCTGCATGGCATGCCTGATTGCAAGACCTTAGTGTCGATGTTGCTTCGGTATCGATAGCTTCCATGCATAAATGAAGATAAAGCCACGATCAGCAATAATTGCGGCAAGTGCTGGTAACTCACGATTCACGGTTTATAGGGATGCCGGGATGCTCACAGCAGTTTCAAATTCGAGTGTTTAAGCTTGTGAAGTTGCCACTTAACCAATAAACTGCTTCATGGAGTGGTCGTCGTTGAGGGTACCGGCTCTCGCAACAGGGGACCTTTAGGGCGGCCTTGGGTTGAAGCTTGCGGTTGGGACGCAGGTATGGCCCGGTATGGCATGGTGTATGATTACACAGCAAGTGTCTACACCTACACCTCCGATTCAAAGCATTCAAGCACCTGCATACTTCTCCAGTCAAGGCGAAGCACTACCAGCAGGGTGGTGAGCGTCGCCAACGGCAGCACTGCAGCCTCTCGATGGGGTCTCAAGGCTGGCGTGTACGCCGGTTCCTGGAATCTTTACCATCTCACAAGCAAGGCTTTGGATTTGAGAGAAAGAGCCAAGAGTCTGGGCCAAGAGCTGACACTTCGGAGATGTTGTCAGGCTGCTCACAGCGTTTGGGACACAGGCTCACAACCTGATTGCCAGATATGAATTCCGAAGGTCACAGATTTGAGCACTCAGCTCTGACCTCTCAGTTAATCACGGAGAGTCGCGTGGAATCTCAAGCCAGCCGACGTGTGGGAAGACTGCTGTTGCCAGCCGACGTGAGTGGAATTCACTCATGCCGTGAAAAGGTGCTCATGAAACAAAGGTGCTTCCTCGAAGGCCCCGGGCCCGGAGTGGCCTTCCAAATTCGCAGCCAGAAGCGCGTTCGCAGGAGAACCTCAACTGAAAGTTAGCGAACACAAGGTCGCAAAAATTTCGGTTTCAGAGACGACTGCGGGCACAAAGCAGAGGTTGGGTTGCTCCCTCATGATGCAGACTTCGGGATGAGGGACATGTTGTTGGTATTTGAAGCTTCTCTTGCAAACGGCGGATGAGACTGTCAAGCCGGGCGGCTTCTGTCGCAAATAGGCGCCGGCGGGGGTGAAGCCAGAAGAAAGAAAAGCCTGCCAATCCAAATGAAATGCCCAGGGCCTGGAGCTTTGCTACTCAAGTTACTCGGCAAACTCCACACCAGGCCTGAAAGCCAGACGACCTCCAAGAAAATCCAAATCTGCCTAAGAGCTGCGCGCAGGTTCTGTAGCAGCTGAGTTGACATGGCCATGAAGCGATATCGGTGCTGAGGAAACTGTGCTTCAACCCTTATCGCAGCCAGGGCACCAGTGGAAGTCCTGGCGTGCACCGAAGCTACGCGCCGGACATCGAAGTCACACGAAACTTGAGCAAGCGTGCACATAGATAGGTTCCACATAGTGTCCAAGAGGCCCTGTTGGCTAGCCATTTCCAGTATTTGATGCTCTTGCAAACTTTATACTTCTGACTCTTCCACCGAAATCATACTTATGGCCCGGACCAGCCACGAGGTGCGTGTGGACAAGAACCTCGACCACATGAGACACCCGGCATGTTGCAGGATGCTGCAGCCGTCTGTTCTTTTGACCATCGGACATGGACATGCAAACCAGCAACTACTGGTGCAGCAGTCGCCGAAAGTAAAGCATGACAAGGCTGGCTCAGCTCAGGCGAAGGTCTGTGTTAAACAGGCAGAATACCTGACAGTCCATCTGCAACTCGGCTGTCCCTAGGGCTCGCATCAACACCTGATACTGTAGCAGTGTAGCACCTTGGCTCAAGGGCCTTCTATGGTTCGTTGCCATCCAAGCAGCACGAGCATTGCCACGACCGATCCAAGGCGGATTACAATCACATCCTCGTTTCTCGCAAGAACCAGAGGAAGCAGGAAGTCAGATCCAGTTTCTATCATATCGATTAACTACAGACGAAACTTGACAGTTACGACCTCGAGGACAGCTCGAACACACTCCATAAAGCCTGAGTGTCCATGGGAACTCCAGCTATAGCAGCTCCGCGGTACTCGCTGTGGACAGTGGGATCCTCCAGGAAGGTTGTTTCTTTCTGCTGTTTTTCGGGCCAGATGTGGGGGCAAAAGCGTAATCCACTTGACACCACGATCTCACTTCTTGGATTCAACTGTCTCCACACCCTGGCCTCTGGCCCTGAGACCACGAAGCCAAGCTGCAGCAGACAGAAGTAGAGGCCTGCGAACGAAGTCAACTACAATGAGTTACAATGAATACATACAGTAGATTCTGAATCATGTGATATTTCTGTGGTAACTGTGGCAAGAAGGAGATACCACGATCGCGCGAGCACGGGCGTGTACCATGGCGGAGCGGGTTGGGGTGCATGCACGGGGTTTGGGGGAATACATGATCCTGGTGCGGCCGGCCCGCCCTCTCCTCACCATCATCATCATGATCATCATCAACGTACTGATCCTTTTCTGGGTCAACTGTCACAGTAAACCGGGCCTGCCAGGAAGGCGATCCTTGCGACGATTGCATCGTTGATACCCTCGTGTCGGAGTCGTGGTTGGGAAGTGTCCACAGTTCCAAGGATCGGTTGTGGTTGGGACCGGATCCTCGTGACACCTCGACGGACTTGAGCCGCCATGTGGGAGAAGTGCGCGCAGTCCAAGGGATTCGGCTTATTCGGACCCGTCTGCGGGGTGGGGATACCATTGATGGGGGGAGGGGGGTTGCGGCGAACCGAGAACCGGGATCATACATGTATGCATGTATGCATGTGTGCATGCACGCACCGCAAGCATGCATGGGTGTTTGTTTGTACGGACATAACGGAAGACGTTCGACGATTCTCCTGGAATGTACTTAAGACTGTATAACTGCCCCAGCTAACAGCTCAATATATCTCCAGACATTTAGTGTACGACATACACAAGCTGGAAAATGAAGTCGTAAGATTCGAGATTGAAGAGAACACCGAATCATTTGAAGACCATGACTCACACTTCATTCAGAGCAGTTCGCAGACTCCTGCACTGCATGGCACGGCAATCGGGACACATGAAGGTTCGAAGAAGCCACCGTCCGATCATAAGAACACCAGAACTTCACACACAGGCACGCCCCATCAAGCATTTCCATGCACGAAAGAAGTTATGAAACCTTTTAAATACAAAGCGGCAAACGCAAACATGATTCCATGCCTTTCAAGCTCAGCCAAGTCGCTGCCGTAGTCGAGCAGCCGTACCCACTGATGCAAAGGGCCTTGCCCGCGAGGCTCACAACAACCACCCGGCCCAAACCCTTCAGCTATTCTCGCATCGAAATAAAACATTCGGGTTTCTGGTGCGGGAACCCTGGATCCCAACGGCAGGCCGCTGAATTTTCAGGGCTTCAAGAGATGATGAGATTCACATTATGACAAGCAGCAACAAGCACTGCAGCAACTGAGCGCAGAGGCCCATCCGGACATGGAGAACTCCACCACGAGTGACGCTTGCTCCAAATGTTTCACATTCCAACACTGAAACTGCTTCTGCGACTCCTCCTACTACTACTAGTGCTACTACTACTACTACTGCTAACACTACTACGACTTCTTCTTCTTCTTCTGCTGCAGGGTCTGTTTTTGACGTGGTGTGTGTGTGGTGTGTGCGCGCTTGAGTGTGGAAATATTGTTCAGGGTGTCCGCAAAACAGTGTCGTGATCATCCCCGAAGAAGCTTTCCCCTACCTAATTTCGAGTTTTTTTGCAAACAGTTCCAAACAGCAAAGTTTAATACGCATAGTCGAGAAGTGGGGGCTCAGAATATGTAACAAAGCCTGACATCACAAAAGTACCGTAAATACCGAGTTAAACGGCTCTTGTGGTGATACTGCTGGGTGTGTTCGCGTAACACTGTCGTCATCATCCCCCCCCACCCCCCCACCCACCCCCAGAAGCAAATCCAAAATCAAAAGCCGAGTTTGCAAACTCGACAAGTCGATTTTTAGGCCTCTTAGGATGATCGCACATGACGAAAGTGCCGTAAATACCGAGTAAAATGGATGTTGTCTTAACATGGTTGAGAGCAAGTGTAGTTGGTAGGGGTGCCTACTACTACTACTACTACTACTACTAGTACTACTACTAGCATTACGACGACGACTGCTACTACGGCTACGACGACGACAACTACTCCTCCCGCTGCTGCTGCTGCGGCTGCTATTACTACTGCTGTTACTGCTACGGCTGCGGCCACGGTTATAGTTACTGCTACCGCCATTGCTTCTGAAACTGCTACTGCTGCCGCCACTGGTCATGAGTTTGCTCCTACTTCCTTTCGACATTTGCAAATGTTGTAGAGCACACTGCCTCCGTGCATACTTTAAACTGCTGGAGATGGCTCAACATAAACATACTTTCGTAAGTTCGATCAAAGCCGGCGAGTTTCAATTCGTCTGCGACATCAATCGCTACAGTTGCTACGAGCTGCGATGCGAGATTTGTTGGTGCTTTTCAGGGCGGAAAATGCTACGAATTGCGTGCTCCAGTATCATGCAAATGCAGTTTGGAACTTCTAACCTATGTACTAGGCGTCTGTGCTTCTGGGTTGTGCGGACGCTTTGTGCACGTAAATTATGCAATAAGTATATTCAAACCTACAGATACCGCAGGTTAGAGATGTCGAACGCTGGAAAAGGCTGTGCTTCGCAGTGCTCACGCTGCTATACACAGATCAAAAGGACGTCTCCAGTTCTCGGTTCTCATGGGAGAGCGCAACCTTCAGCCCCACTTGCAAATCGCAAACCTCCCACTATTGCGATATGATGCTGCGACGATATGTTATGTACAGTAGTGGGCCGCAACTATCTTTATTGAGGCACGAATACACAGCTTCAAAATGTCTCCCTTCACTCCTGTGCGCCCTTCCTTGTCTTTCTGCCTGCTCGCTTCATTTATGCTCGTTTGTGACTTTTGTGCTTTCACAAGCTGCCAAGCTGCAAGATGAGTCCCGTACAATACTTCTTTTCTTCCAAGTGCTATTGATTTCCGAACTACAATCACTACGAAGTCTGCATTTTCGACCGCCGGTGGGCAGGTGTCGATGCATCCGCGAAGACTACAAGTTACCGGAATACTGTGGGTCGAATATGTAATTGCTGCGATTGCGCATGCAGGACATGATGCAACTTTTAATGTATGTACGCAAATTGTACTGCTTACACTAGATTACGTTGTATCGGTATATTCAATCCATCAACAGAACTGTACGGTTATAGTATGTACGCAAATTGTACTGCTTACACTAGATTACGTTGTATCGGTATATTCAATCCATCAACAGAACTGTACGGTTATTGTACTATACCAAGTGTCCAGTCTTCGATCATACAAAATGGACGTGCCATGGACATGCATGCCAAAGGACGTACATTGAAATCCACTACGGTGCCGTGTTCAAGCCATATTCGTCCACGCTTCTGACAGCTGCGAAGGCTGCACATTACAGCACATCTCTTCGTCAAAGATCCAATATATGATGAAAGTTAACTTCTTGCTTTCAAAGGGTGCGGCAGACGCTGTATGTGGGGGCACGAGAAATCGCCGGAGATTGGTGAGGAGACCCTCCGCTTCCGAACATGACGCTACAGCTGATCGTTGTAGTCTTTCATCCTTCCCTTTTGCCTTGCTTTCTGCCTGTCCCCTTTCCTTCCTTTCGTCCTTCCTTTCCTTCTTCCCTCCATCGCTACGTCCTGCTCTCCTGCTAGCTTCATAGGATCTGATGCTTGTCTAACCGTTGCTCGTTGCTTATTCCAACACTGATCGCGCCTTTGGCAAGAACATGCGCCAAAGACGATGGCAGCATGCTGCAGTCCATTGCCTCTCATGACGAAAGCTCTGGAACACATCCCGACGCAATTGAACAAAGGTCCCTGGCTCGATGAAACAATGCATCGGCAGAGTTGTGTGGGAGTCACGATCACCAGTTGCATTCGATCTCCTGACGAAATAGAGCCGATGTTACGGTCTCGAGGTCTCTATAGTTACCAGCATGGAGCATTTGATGCTAGAACTTGCCCCAGAAGCTGCGCTCTTCGCTTCCAAAACGAGAAATCGCCTGGTGATGGATCATTCGAGTGGGCAATGGAGGGGTGTAGCATGGTGTAGCCCAACAACTTCCCACGTTCGTGGGTGAAGCAAAAGGTTCCAGCGAAAAGCCCCAAAGCCTTAGTGCAGTGCACGTCAGAAGTCAGAACTCAGGCTCAGTCGAGTGATGCACTTCCTGCTCTTTTCACCTATTTGGGACACCAAGAATGTGCTCTTCCATCCGGAGAGACATTTCATGTCACCAGCATGGCACACAGATTCACGCACAACGCGCATCAGCGGTGGAAACGTCGCAACTGGCACAGAGCGAGATGCAAGTCGAGTCTGCAGTGCGCATTCAGATATCGTCGAGCAGCCTGTCGCATTGCAGGAGAGACCGTAGCACAGTCTGCCGAGGTAGGCCCACTGCACATCCCTCTCAGTGGGGCAGCCTGTTCCAAAGTACGAGTGCAAGTGCTTGCGAGGGACGATGGCAAAGGTGTCCGAAGTGTCCGATGGATGCGGGAAGGTCTTTCTACGCAGAATGTGCACCGAGTTGGGATCCAAGCTTCCGAGGTTGCCGATGGGCGCCATCCAGGCCATGTCTGGACGCAGGCGCAGGACCCAATCGAATCTGAAGCTCTGGGCCTTCTCTGCCTCGGTGATCATGTGAAGGCAGGTGTGGAACTTTTCGAAAACGTGGTGGCTGTTGTCTCCCGGTGTCCAGTGGCACCTTGCTAGCTTTGACCACGTGCCCGATGTGCCTCTGCGCTCATCGTAGAAAGCCAGCTGGTCGGGTGGCACCGCTCGAAGGGCAGCGGAAAAGTCTCGCAGCTTGCGGCCCTGCAGGTCCAGCACGTAGAAGACTTGCACCCTGGCACCCAGCGTTCGAAGGACATTCTCAGCGATGGACTCGTGCACTTCCGGCATCCAAAGACTCCTCGCCAGGCCGGCGATGCACAGAGCAGCCGCCGGGAGCGGAGCGGGAGCGCCGAGCGGAGCGCCTTCCGCGCCTCCCTCCTCGCGCGTGCCCTTCTGAGAGGCGACGGCGGCGAGGGCAGTGCGGGCCCGGGCCCAGCGGGCTCTGAGGTCCCAAAGCAACGCCTCGCCGGCTTCCCCCTCCCCGCCCTTCACTTCCACGCTCGTCCCTCTGGGACCAGGCAGTTGCAGTCTATCCCCACGCGGGGGGAAGATCTCGGGAAACTTCAGACGCAGGGACAGAGGCAAGACCTCCCTGATCAGATTCTCGACTCGGCCGCAAGCAGTAACGGGAGGGAGCCACTGGTCATGCTGGAAGATGCTTGGAGCACACATGAAGACTTGCAGGTGATCTTGGGTAAAAAGAGACCGTCCAAAGGTCGCATACAATTCTGGCCAGTCTGCTTTGCCCAGCCGAAGCTCCCAAAATACTCCGCCCATTGATTCAACACACTCCTGCCAAGCGGCTGAAGCCTGCCAGTACATCTCGGAGAGCATGGACCGGTGGACTCCTACTGTTGCCACGAAGGCGCGCATGAGCAAAGGAAGCCTTTCAGACACTGCTGCTGCACAGCTCGGAGTATGATTCCCACGGCGCGGAGGTAAATTATCAGGGACGAGGCAAGCGACGTCAATGGCAGAAATGCATGTTCTGCCCAACATCTGAAGATAACTTCGGGTGCACAGGGTAGGAACAGACGGAGAGGAGTCTCCGCAAACCTTGCAAAGCGCGCTGCAGCACAGATCTGCAGAGCGAATGCCCCGGCTGCACCACTCAAGCAGCCGCTTGGAAGGTTGCTTGGCCCCCATGGCGATGAAACTCGTCCCGAAAGCAGCCTCCTTATGCACATGGCCCCATCGTGATTCAGCAGGCTTGCCACATTCAAGTCACCTTTCGCAGTTTAGGAATCACAGTTGAGGCTTACCGAAACCTGCCAACATAATATTACACTGCAGGTTTCCTGCACGGAGATGCGCAATCCGCCATGCTATCAGGAGCTGGGTGACATCAAGAGAACTTCAAAGGCGGGATCGGGAGCTCTGCTGTACCCTGTTAGAAGCTTCAGACTTAACGTTGGACAACTGAACAGGAATTAGCACCAGCATTCAGATTGCCTCGTGAATGAAGGACAGCATGGCTGTGATCACGAAGATGACAGCATGCCACCTCAAAGGTCTCAATATACTACCGCTACTGCTGCTGCTGCTGCTACTACTACTTCTACTACTACGACGACGACGACTACTACTACCACTATCACTATCACTACCACTACCACTACCACTACCACTACCACCACTACCACTACCACTACCACCACTACCACTACCACTACCACTACCACTACCACTACCACTACCACTACCACTACCACTACCACTACCACTACCACTACCACCACTACCACTACCACCACTACCACTACCACTACCACTACCACCACCACTACCACCACTACTACTGCTGCTGCTGCTACTACTACTACTACTACGACGACGACTACTACTACTACTACTACTACTACTAATACTGCGACTACAACTAATAATACAACTACGACTACGACGACGACGACGACGACGACTACTACTACTACTACTACGAGGAGTAGAACCAGTCAGATTCAGTCGCAGGTGGTTTCTGATAATCCCGCAATTGAGTCCTGTGCGTCTTTTCTGAGACTGTTCGGGCTTCTGGAGAGTATCAGGATCTGAGGAGTGCCAGCAATCTGCTTCACATGATGTCTTGCACAGATGCAACCAACGTTGTCACGGCGGCGATATTCAAGCTCAGAGCTTCATAAAAAAAAAAAGGCAGAGGTCCCACTTTCTAAGGAGAAGGGAACGACATTTTTCTCGATGCAGTCAGCTCCTGAACAAGTCCGGATTCCGATCTCAAACCGGTCTGAAGTCCAAAGCCAAGTGCTTGCAAGAGTCACTCTGCCAAGTCCTAGGCCAGAGACAGCATTACTGTGCTCAGCTGGGGTTCGTGGCTAACACAGTCTGTGAATGCGATCGCTCTGTCTGAACGTCAAGAAACGGGTCTTTGCCAAACGAACAGTATCTTCCCCCCCTGGTGATTGTTGATGGCGATCAGTGCAATTCCCTGATCCCTTGAGCAACCGTGTCTTCAAAATGCAATAGCTCCTTCAAACACACCTTCCCCAATCGGGGCCATGGGCGGGGACTGCAGGGTCGGACTGCAGGGTCTGCAGACAGCAAACGGAAGGGCTACAAGGAAGCCCTCAACATCCCGACACCTAGAAACACGCACCCGTAATTTTGCACACTGTTCGGCCGGGGTCGGTGTGCTATGCTCTCATCAGAATCTCAAGTGCCCGGGCGCGGATGGCTGCGACCGCCGGCATGAGGAACAGGAGCCCGGCCAGCATTGCCAGCGGTGCAAGGGCGAGGCCGTTCTGGCAAAAGAGCTTGCCAAATTCCATTAGTCTTGCGGAGGGGGTCTCGGGATATCACCACTCTTGAGGATAACTTCTGGATGACACCGTCAAGCTCCGGCAGTGGCACGGCTGTCCTTGCAAATAACGCCTCCCCTTCTGAGACACGGGCCTCCGCCTGCTCCAGCAAAAGGCCAGAGCCAGTGTCTTCGGGCCCGAGGACCACACGGATCCTGCACGCTTCAGACCCAAATTTCGCCAACGGAGCCTCAACGGTATCCATGCATTTGCTACACAAGTCGGGAATGGGATGTGATCCTGCCGATTGCAATAGCTGCTGCAATGGAAGCAGCACTTGCACAAGGCAAAATACAGAATATGTGAATATGTTTATGTGTTGTATTACATGTTAGTTGATGACTTTGTTAGGATCTGGCTCGGGGAAGTGGCATAAGTTGAGTTGTCTACGTGTCTGCGAAACTGAGACCAGGGGTCTTGTAGCGAGGGCCCTTCGGACAAAGCACAGCTGGCCTGGAAGATTCAGGAATCATCGTCGAGAGGAATATGGATGTGCTGACTCTTCAAGCTGGCAGATAAACTCCACATCAAACCGGATGCATGTCTGTATGTTTGTTTGTATGTGTATGAATGACATGCAGCATGATGTCGAGTATGATGTATGTCCGCACAGTCTAAACATGCCAGCTCGAAGAAGCTCAGGCGGACCAGGATTTAGCAAGCTGCTGCCCTGAGAAATTCTCTGGGCTCTGAACCATCAATGGCACAAGGCAGATCGCTGTCACGCACGTCAACTCAGGCTTTCGGCTCGTGGAGCGCAGTGCTGAAAACGACCCTGACCGACGATGGTGCACTATGGCAACAAGTTGCACACTTTACTTGGCATGAATGTCATATTCTGATGAGTACTTGAGGCCCCACCCAACCTGACTTCGATTGCAAGTTCAATGGTGGTTTCGTACATGCTGGAAGCTTTGGATGAATGCTTTCCACAAGCAACCGTTTCCCTCTTCGCAAAACCTGAAGCGAGGCAGGCGGCACCTGGATGTACCAGGGACTTCCTCGATTGATGCTAGCTGGCAACGTGTGAAAAGACGGTCTTGTCGTCGAAACGCATTGATGTCTTGAAAATTCTAGAAACGGCTGATGCTTTTCCGGACGAGCGTGATACTTGCCACGAGAGACGACAAATTGGCGAGAGGCGACGCTAGACTGCATTGGTGCGGCAAGACAGCACCAACAGCATTGCTGCATCAGTACAACCTTCCAAGGCCCTCCGTCTCGCAACATCGAAAAGTCAAGCAAGCTGCATGAACTTCTGTTTGACCTCGCCGATCAGCCAGTCGAAAGACTGCTTCGACAGCTTCTCCTGACAACTCTTCACTTCACAGGGCGCCCGGCTGCAGTAGTTTCATCTGCGCACTGCATGCAGGTAAATCCGTACGTTGTCGTGTATGCTCCGAAACAGACTCAGCTGGGTCGACGAGTCAAAAGGAGTGTTGTACGCAGATGACCGAGAACCGTCCGAGGGCCGCTTCCTGCAGATGCTGATGCTCTTGCCCCGCACTCTTTGCACTGTGCGCAGTGCGAAGCCTATAAACATCAGAATCACACCACAAGGACTACCGGAAATCTGTTGCAGCCCGCGTGCAGCTGTTTGCAGCTGCTCGCTGGTCCTTCTCAAGGATCTTCCGCGACGCTAATGCGCACCGGAGGTGGGCGTTGAGGACGATCTGCAGTTTTCAATGCACTGGACTGCACAACCAAACTAAGCGATGGCTTGGGAGTCTGGGCCTTCACTCAGTGCGTCTGACTCCTCCAAGACAGTTCGAGCTGAGACTGGGACCTGAAACCAACGACTGACGCAAAAACTGCAGACGAAAGCCTCTGTGTGCCAGAGAAGCCCTAAGAAAGCATTAACTTGTGCGCTTGGGAGGTCAATGACGGAACTGCTCCCGAGAACTTCAAGGTGGTGAAGTGCAGGAAGAAAGAAACCAAAGCTCGCAAGTTGGAAAACCAGATTGGATCCGAGAGCCTTGGCATTGTCTTCCACTTCCCGTCCGATGGTGTCGCCTTCTGCGATGGCCCTGGTCACCTTACGCTGTGAGCGTATGACGGAGAACAAGACTGCACCTGATTGACCTTCGCGGATCCTACTGAGTAAGCCCTGAATCTTGGCCCTCAGCCGCAGCCCGGTATCAAAAATGCGGTGGTAGTCATCACCATCGCCACTCGGATCTGCTCAACATCGGTTAAACCGTAATCCCCCATCACTCTGAACCCGAACCTGGTTTTATTGTAAGGAGGGTCTTTTGCTAATGAATGTAAAAGGTTCTTCCCTGGAGGTTCTTCCCTGTACTATGGATCAGAGTCTTTGTTGTCACCATCATCACCATCATCATCAGCGTCGTCTGCATCCTCATCATCATCCTCATCACCATCAGTAGCAGCAGTATGGCATCATCGTCGCAGTCACGCCAGAAGCAGGAAACACAGTAGGGCAATGCCAGTACCCTCTGCATCCCTCTGCAACACAACCTTTTCAGCAAACACCACAGCCCCAGCGCAACCCCATCACACTACTTCCATCAACAGGAAGAAGTAGCAAAAGCAAAACCATCACCACGACGAAGACATAGTGACAGCAACAAAAACTTTGGTTTCTTCTTCGGAAGATGCTTAGAGCCTCATTACACTCACAGCAGGAGGTGGAGGGGTTCCTTGCCAATGTGCCTCCAACTGCTTCAGCAAGCTTTCAACCTTTTGGACGATCTCCATGGGCGAATACCTGTTGTGCCGACAGTGTTCGGAGAGTGCTGCGCAGCCGGCACACAGGCATTCACTTCCACATTCCCCTTCTTGTTAACGGGAATGTGTGGCATAGTGCCAAATATATACTGGCATGAATTATTTGCCACACGTGCAGCTTCGACGAAATCTATGGGCCTCTCTTGCGCTTCAGTGCCATCCTCGTCCGCGACACGGTTGCGAGCCCGGTCCAGCAGCCTCGAGACGACACAAAGCAAGCATTGCACCCGAGTGATTTCACAACTGCTGGTAGCAGCACTTTCCTAACCCAGTTTCTGGTCTCAAGCGAAAATGCACAGCAAACACGCTAGTGGCTGGGCGGTTGTGCCAGGCCAACACAACAGCCAAGCCCTCATGCTCAGTACAGCATTACTAATTTTCTGATCACAGCCGGAAAGTTGTCGCTCGCAAAACATGAGGAAAAGCTCTTTTCTGTGTTGAACATCATTTTTACGTGCCTGGCGATGTTAATCGGGATGTGCTGCTTCGTCTCACCATCCGGGTATACCTTGCATGACCCAATAAGTTAGCTCTCGCTGTCGGCATGAACCGATCAATCGTATGCCCTATGCTGGTCATACACGTAACTGTATAGTTCGCACGATTTGATATACTTGGATCCTATACATCCCATCCCGGCCTCACTGCAGATCTGCTGCTTGACGGTCTTCAGCCTCTCCCACCTAGTCCCAGCACTGGGCTACGGGGCATCGGGTGGACCGCAAATCGCTGGCGCTAGACTCGAACCGCCTCGGGCCCGCCACTTTCTATCGACGTAATGTGGAATCCACACAGCACTTGACAAGCCCCCTCGTCTGCGTGCCAGGCTCTTCATCAAGGAGTTGCTGGTCATCACTGCTGACCTGCAACGTTGGAGACTTTCAGCTTGCAGGCAATGCCCTCAGGCTCAAGGCTAGAAGTGAGCTCGCTGGTTTATCATAAAACTGTACTGGTGCTCCAACCGTGTGCCGGTCTTTGCTACTTTCCTTCAGTGGGTCCGCCAGCGCAGTCTCCCACAAGCACAAAACGAGCTCGGCAGGCTACAGGATCAGAGTCGGAACAAGTTTCCGTCTCTCCCCGAAAGGAGCGCGAGAGATTCCGAGACAAGTGCCTTAATCTGCTCCAGGATGCGTGTCGGCAGCCAACCGAGCCCGTAGTCTGCATCGGTGTACTTGTGCCTAAGAGACCGTTGACAGGACACTCTGGACTAAACTGCCACCGAAGTCAGAGCTACCCGGCTGGAAGGTGTTCTCCAGCTTCCGGTTGTCGTAAGTCATTATCTCCAGAGTTTGATCCTGCATGGAGCTTCACTTTGCCGACAGCATCTTGGCAGACTTTGAGAAACGGCAATGCTCACGCAGCCAGCTCCTCGATCCAAAGCCCGTCCATGCCATCCTCTCCATAAAGGAATTGGATAATGTCCTTGGCATGTTGAAACTTGATACCATGCAGAGGTGCTCCGGGGAGCTCAGCAGCAGAATCTCTGAGTCTGTGGCATTGCAGGCATTCCGGGCTGTGCCATCATAGGCCACCCTGGCGGCTGTGGCAGGCTCCTTTTTTGAATGTGCTCCGTTTAAGCCCTTTGACGTGAAGCCCAGGTCTGCTGCGCAACACAGGCTGTGTACGTCAATGTTCCAGATTCAACACTGCACTTTGGCAGTCCGAAAGAGCCAGACCATGTCATGCCTGCCAACTTTTTCGACAACACAGCGCACTCCCTCAACATCTCCCTGGGATCCCTGAACACGGGCTGCCAGGCTTCAGGGTCTCCATAGACTTCACAAGACGCCGCTGGATGTACCTCGCATCTTGCCCGGTGTGGAATGTCTCATGTGCAATAAGTTCAGAGGCAAAAGGGGCAGTATGTTTAAGAGGACACTCCGTGATCGCACTTCGTCTAGCTGGAGAATCAGGCGAACCCTTCAAGTTTGCAGGCAGTGCTGATTTTTCAGCATGCCCTCATACCTACAGGAACCCAGACAGAAGAAGGACTAGGTGAAATGAGGACAGTGTCGCACCCTGTCTCGGAGGTCTTGCAGGCCGTGTCGATGACCCCCTCGCGGCCTCCCATGGCATGCATCCAGACCTGGGGTGCGACAGCATCGACGGCGTTCGGCTTTGCGTCGAAAGTTTCTCCGAGACAACGATGTGCGACTGTTTCGGATTGGTCGCCCTTACAGTCAACATGCACTAGATACTGAGCATCCTCTGTCGCTTCGCCGTCAGAGCTGTCATGCAACATGTTGTCTTGTGTTTTCCGAGCTGGACAAGACAGTCGCTGTCAATGCTGCCAAATCCGGCTAAAACTTGAAGCACGAACCCCCGACACCCTGTCAGCAGACCGAACAAAACATCTCTATCCGGTCTATCGGGAAGGAATCTACCTAAGTGCAATGAAATATGACCAATGATTTCCAGCCGCAACTAACCCGACGACCAAGAACACCCGAGATTCCAAAGCTACGTCGTCTTCCCCCAAGCCGATTCGAGGCCAGGGCCTCCTGTGGTGTAAGGCCTGCCAGGTAGGAGTTCTCCACGAAGCCTCGCGCCTCCGCTCCATAATCGTCCTGGCTGCAGCTCCCGCTCAGTCAGGAAAGAAAGACAGCTGGAGGCATCGCCTTCGTGAAGTGCGGCAGGGTCCGTTCATTGAAGCCGTACCTCCCATGTTAAGAGGCACTAAGGTTTTCGGCATAAGTTTGCGCACACCATCCGCAGCCGCTGGGAGATGGACGTCAAGAGGTTCAAAGAAGCCTGCGGTTCAATCCGAGCCTGATGCGAGCGCCTTCCACGTTTTGCTGACCCACGCAGGCCACAATCTGGGCAACGTTCAATGGCGACCTTGATCCAACGATAGAAACTGCTACTGCAAGACACTGAAGTACGACCATGCTTGCTCGTCCCGGTTGGGCCAACGAAGCCAGCACAAGGAGTCTAGCATCAGCACGAATCCAGGGCCCCTGCCCCTTAGAGCCAGCATTCACCTGGGCGTAGACTCACCCGGAATGTCTGGACATTCACATTTCGTAATGAATTATCACACTTGGTATAGTTCTGGTGCGGATTCGTGAAAGAAAGACGGTCAGCTGAGACACCATGGAAATAATGTTGTTGCGCTCATCCAGCGAGCTGGCACCAATGTTTCCGGCGTCCTCGGACAGCGCTCTCGACTGGTCTGGGCTTGGGGTGCTTGGGGTTTGGCACTGCGCTGGCCAAGTAGGTTGGCACAGCCTTCCAGTGCTGTTGACCCCATCACGATAGCATCATCGCATTGTGAATTGTCAGTCCGTGCAGCTCACCAATTGACAAGCAATGACAAGTATGATGTGCGACGCATTGCCAAGCCTTGAAGCCAACATCCAGATTGAATGCAACCACCTTGAAAACTTGCAGGTTTGCCCCAAGAAGTCCTCGCGGGCGGAGTTCAGACGTTGGTTCGCCTTGGCTTCGAAAGACTGGTACCTGCAAGGAGCCGGGAACCACGCGACTTATTAATGGTAAAGAACCGGAACCTTCGCCGGCCCTTGAACGCGAACCCATCGCCTAATCGTGCTCCGCCCGGCAACAAAACCAGGTTAAATCTGAAACACTGGTGCCTTAAAAGGCATGAACAGCAATAGCTTCCCGGCGCACATGGTTTTTCCAGGCTGCGTCTCCAGCTTTCCACGCTGGGCATCAGCCAAGAGTGCTCGCACCTCTTTCTTTGCCTCGAGCTTCACGGGCTTCGGACTCACGATGTTTCAATTCAGATCTTGTGATATCTACATATCACCGATCCGCCCTCTGCTCAGACTTATCATCCAGCGGGTCCTGCTTCAGCGTCTTCTCCACACTCAGCAGCGTTTGGTCGTTGGCAATGATGTCTGCCACGCCACAGGAGAACCTGTACAAGAAGCCAAGGTGCGGGTGGCAGTTACAGGTCGAGGCGTGACGACTGCCTTCGTGGAAACTACCCAGCAGCAAAAATGAGACAACAAGGGATCCGCAAAATAGACCTCGAATTCAGCAGTATCCTCACAAAAGAAAGATCTTGACAAGGACTCCTGCCCACTTTTCTGTTTTCTCCGAAAGGCTCGGAAGAGAGCTCAAATCCTCCTTCCTTTAAGTTTTTAAAGCTTCAGGGCTCCCGGAAAGTTGTTGAGGTCCCCACCCATTGTGCGTCAACCACTGGTTCACCATCTTTTGGATGTAGGAAAGAACCTCCCGGCACAAAGCTTGCGATGTGGGACATCCTTTGACCCTGCAGATCCCGGGCCCGGCACGTTCCGACACCACTCCGGCCCACTGTCCAGCCAGACCTGAAGCCGCCAGGAAAGCCAGCGAAAGGAGCAGCAGAGTGAGCGGAGCGAGCAACTTGACGTGCTTTGAGCACCCCACCAGATGCAGCAAAGATCCCCCAGAAGAGCCAATCTGCAGAGAGCATCTCTTGAATGACAGGTGCGCAGGCCCGGACTAGCATGGCACCACGAAGTCGAAATGCATCGTCGGGGCAACGAGTTTTGGCTAGAAGCTGTGTCTTGCCCTCATGCCTGCACACGAGCTTTTTGCATGAATGTGTCTGTCCCTCCGCTATGGGTTGAAAGAGGCTGGGTTGTCAACTGGACCGTCCTGCAACTTGTGGGACTAATTGTTGGAACCCCTTGAAACATACTGCCTCCTGTTTTCACCAGTCTGGTTGGGGAGCACTGGCTCATCGTTGAGTAGCTGAGGAGCGAAACCCACCGTCTGAAGTAAGGGCCGCGCTGTCTTCTTGCACACGATGCCACTCAACAGCTCGCCGTTGACGATGAGCACCTCGACAGTAGGCTCCTCTTTCTTGAAAACTGCATCGAAGAGTTGCTTCTAAAGATAAAGGGCCTGCTTGATGCGCCCAGAACCACACGAGCAATCGACGTAAACTTGGGGCAAGCTGCTAGACGGTGGTTTCTCTTCACGTCCATATAACTGGGGGTGGTGGGGGGGAATTGGCCATTTATGGACTTCAAGCCTTCAGAAGCCACTGACGTGTCTTGCAATGGAAGCCTGTGCCCAGATCATCCAACACCACCTGTCACTCGAAAGCCAACAGGGTCTGAGTCATCAGTCGGCCGATCTGCACCTTGCAATCGCTCGCTGCGAAGTCTGGCTCATCCTGGCCAGCTCGAGACTAGCAGCCGTCCGCACTTTCTGAGCACAAGCCGGAACCAAAACTGAAGCGAGGTGGACAGTTCAGTCTATGCCCGACTAGGGAGCGTGATATGTGCAGAGACTACTCAGTGGGCGTATTCGTTGCACTTGCGCAGCAGTCTACGAGAGATTGCAACCGGCGGCAAGTCCAGGAAAGCAAGGTCGCAGATAATGCGTCTGTGGCAAAATCTCCAGCATGCTGGTTGGGAAGGCGGCCTTCTTGTTCTTGGAGGCGATCGCTGCATCACGCTGGGCCAGGGAGAACAAAGCTGAGAAGCGGGAATTGGGGAACTCATCATTCACTCTCCTGGATTACACGATGCACACTGCAGCACGATGTATGCATCATCTGCAGGGATGAAACAATGCGACTTTGCAAACGTCCTGCTCACCAGATACGTTCTCCAAGAAGGTTGCAGCTGCCACGCGGACAGCCCTCCCACCTGCCTTCATAGACAGAGTCTTGGGCAAAAGCATGGAGAGGATCTGCTTGCCCGTCCTAGCATCGGCGCATCATCTTGCGCCGCACAGTGCAAGCACGTGCCTCCGGCTACAGTACAATGTGCCGGTCCAAAGCATTTTCGGCTTGATGATCGCTGGGATCGGAAGCTGGCCTTGGGCAGAGTGCAGGGCTTCAGATTCCCAGCCTGGCTGTCACCGAGCTCCATGCCATCCCAAACAGGGAGCCACATGAGGATGTTCATGCAGAGATCCTCCCAGAAGCACTGACATGTGGCGAGATTCCGGCCAGAGACGAGCCGGATCGGTTTGTAGAACTGAGTGTCCGTATGGATAAGGCTTGGCTTGCTTATGAGCTCCATAGCTCTACTCAACGGCCTTCTCCATGTAGGTATCTCGCTTCGTGTACTTCGCGGTGGCGAGCAGGCTGTCCTGGATGGGCTTGTCAACAAAGGGTCTTAGCACCGTGTTCTTTGGAGCTCGTGGCCTCAAGGCCGAATTCATCACCACCATCCTCCAACAGTTCCAAACCCTGAAACTCGCCTGCACAACGCCCATAACGGGCTTGTTGCCCTGCGGAGACACGACCTGGCAAGCACAAAGAAACCGCAGGGGGAGAAGCTGGTTCACGCGGTAACATTGCTCGACGGCTATCCTGCCTGCCGGGGGTTCAGCATCATGTGCTTGATCTCCGCACGCGTCTCTTGCGACTGCACAGGTCGCGCTGCATGTGGTGTGACATGATTTCGCGAGTGGCCGGCAGGGAGCTACTGGCAGGCGCTGGACTATGCCGATGCAGAAGATATAGGCTGTAGGAGCAACGACACTACCAGCCCTTGCAACTACTACCGGCCTCTGGTCGCTTACCGGTACCCGGTACCACCAGGCATTCTACAACCCAAGCGCAAAAACTTCTGCAAAGTCTCCTTTGCTGGTCCGCCACCTGGGCCAGGTGCAAGTTCATTTCGTCTCCGTCGAAGTCCGCGTTGTACGGCGACGTGACTGCCTTGCTTGAGGTAGTGTAATCTGAATCTCTTCCAACATCTGCTTGGACCATGAGACGTCCAGCTCCACGCTCTGCTCCAAGAACTCATTATGACGATCTGCACAAAAGACACAGTTTCTGAAGGACATGTGCAACCTCCACTTTCCCAAACGGATGTATCTGCATGTTGTCTGGGATCTTGAACCCTTGAATCTGGCAGGAACTCTGAACACTACTCACTACTCCCGCAGGAGATACACCCCATAAATGTCACATCAGCCATGCAGGTATGTGTGCCCGGCAAGATTGAATCGCAATGTAGAAAAAGGCATCACCTGCTTCCAGCGCGGAGGCGAAGGTCAAGGTCTTGGGCTCCAGGCTTTGGGCCCCGAAAAATACCAGTACCTACCTGGTCTCAGCGCAGACTGACTATTGATTTCCGGCTTCTTGTTCAATGCTTGTTGATGCCAAGGCGCCCTTGCGAAAGCCATCTGAAACTTCCCCGGAGCTACGGATTTTTTATCTGAGCTGATAGGTGCTAGAGACATCCTGATACTGAATCCGTCTGCCCAAAGTTGCATGCCTTGGCCCTGTGACCCATCATGCTCATCTTGTGCAGAGACGGCTGGCGATTGAAGATGACCTCAGGACTGCGGATAGTCAATGTCGCCAACGGCTATCGGCATGAGGACCTTCCTGGCTCAAGTGGCATTCCGGGCACACAGCCCGCGCGTAACGAATCTACACAAGGCGAATCGACCAATGCATGGAGCGCTGGAGTACGAGTCAGAAGCAGGTTGCGCATTCCTTGCTATCTGCAAGTCTCGGCTGCACACATAATCGCCATCTAGCATGTGGCGCTCTACACGCCAGCCAAACCTCGAGGCTGCTCGGGGAACTGGGGAAGTGTTGCTCTCAGCGAGTCCACGATAGTGAGACATAGCGGGCATCATGAACCACTTGGGATTCTTTTAAGTCAGAGGTGGAGAAGGTCAAGCGGGTCGAATTGCATAAAAAAGCGATACACAGCACAGTGTGTGCGAGATCTCCAGAGCAGTATGTGTCTCAGCAATCCCCCTGGCTCGGTGTCCCGCTGCAGCTCTATGTCTTCTCGTTTCCCAACGTACCTGGCCAGCACCCACGAAAATACACGCCTGTTAGCCGGAATCCGAGACTGCACTTGGCACTTCAGGCCGATGACCGACGAGGGCTTCGACGACCTGCGGGCCTTCACTGACAGAATCTAGAATCTAGAACCTGCCAGATGCACATCGCTGCAGGAAGAGTCACAGAAGCTGAAGTGGTGGTGACGGACGTCTTGGAACGACTATATCATGTGTGCGTTGTCGCTGTCGGCTTGTCATGGCTTGTCCGGCCTGGCCTTAACCTAAAACCGGGTCTTGGCCCGGCTCATGTGTAAAACAAGCCCAAAATCTCCTAAACAAGCGCGTGGGCACCGGAGGTCTATGCGACTCCCGTCGTCGCGGATGATGTATCTGCGGTCAGTTGAAACGCGAAGCTTTCCAATGCCAAGGAAATTCGACTCGCGATGACTGGCTTTCAAGGCAATCTAATTACACATTTCCAATGGGCCAGCTTATCTTCCGTTCCATGCGAGGAGATTGGAATTCGACTCTGAAGCACGGGCTCGTATGATTGAGGGTTCAACATGATCCAATCGCCTGGCACCCGGCCAATTGGTCGGCCCATTGGTGACTAGCTCCTTCAACCAGTTGGCGTTCAACCTGGACTGCGAATCTTTCGAACTGGTTTCTAATAGTCACTCGATATCCTTGCACCTGCTGCTGCGATCGGAAGACTTGACTTTAACATATCATGTGGAGTGCAGCTTCCTTGGTTCCAATTCTCTCCTTACTCTGAACCCTTAAACCTCTTCAACCCTACTCCCTTCAGTTCCCAAAACCCTGACACCTAACCCAAGATCTCAAAACCGTAGACTCTCAAACCCTCAACCCTGTTTCGGGGCTACGTAATGATTCAGTCACAAAAGGCATAACGCCCAAGTCTTTCAAGCTCGGTTCAAGAATGCTTATAGGGTTTAACCTTAAACCTCAAAGCTCAACTTTGTACCGAAATCGGCAGCAAGGATTGCGAGCGCTCTGATATCCACAGAACACAGATCAGATCACAACAGATTTGCCGACAGGCGTACCTAATGACACTGCAACGCGCGTACGGTCTGGAGGGAGCGGCAGGGTGACAAGAAGTTGGCCCACACCGAAACCACACAAAACCTGTCGTCCACATGGTGTAAGCTAAAGAATCTGGCTTTGCGTCCTGCTTTCAAGCATCCTTCTTGACGTCTTTCTGGAGAGGCCCTTGATCGACAAACTCCACCAATGGTAAAACTTCTAAGCACGCCGCGGGGTGACGCGCTCTGGAAAGGTCAGGTTCAACGCCACAGACCTTCAAGTCTTGTTAGAACCAGCAGACACCAACACACAAGCTGGCATTGGCCAGGACGTTCACGAATGGCCAATACAGCTGCCCAGGCTACCCATGCACTTTATCGACTGGAACAGCTTGGGGAGAGGACGAGGCCCTCTGAAATCTGGTAGCCATCAACAGCCAAAGCAATTTCTACCTGATGATATGCAGAACAAACCCTCACCCGTAGCACGACCACTAGACTCACCAGTGTTGCACCACAGCGTTACCGAAACTGAAGCGGACCGACACGGGGACCCAGGACAACGAAAGACACCAAGAATGCCAACCGAACTCATGACGGGGACGATGGAACATCCGTCGGACCGCAGCCCAATGGTTGTCGGTTGTCGGCGGTTGTAGGAGCACTTCCCTCCCACATTTTCCCAGCAGTCACAAAAGAGAACCATGCGAACGAACCCAAACAAGGAAGCTGTAAATAAGACTATGTTTCGCTTTTCTGCACTCTGTTTCAGCCACTGCTACATCCAAACAGGCATGTGCAATGCGCATATTTTCTCCGCCACTTTTTAGAGTGAGCATTTATTGCTGTTAGTTCATGCAGGCTCGAAATGTTTCTGAGGCAGAAGAGGCAGGTTTGCAGCAACGAAAAGATTGGTAGTAGTAGTTGTTGTTGTTTCTTTGTTGTAGTACTTTTAGTAGTGGTCGTGGAAGCAGTGAGGAGCAGGAGCAGGAGCAGGAGGACCAGGAGCAGCAGCAGCGGCAGCGGCAGCAGTAGCAGTAGCAGCAGAAGTAGCAGTAGCACTAGCACTAGCAGCAGTAGTAGTAGTAGTAGCAGTAGTAGTAAGAGTAGTAAGAGTAGTAGTAGCAGCAGTAGAGCAGTAGGAGTAGCAGTAGTAGTAGCAGTAGAAGTAGCAGCAGCAGTAGTAGTAGTCGTAGCAATCTGTAGTAGTAGCAGAAGTTGTAGCAATAGAAGCAGTAGCAGCAGCAGCAGCAGCAGCAGCACTAGCAGTGGTGGTAGCGGTAACTCCGATAGCGGTGGCAGTGGCGCTAGGGGGTCGATCGGATCATCTCGTAATCTTGGTTCGCTTGTACCACTTACACCGCTTGCCCAGAACGCTTAACCCTTAACCCCGAGCCCTACACCCTCAAGTGCAAGTGGTGCAAGTAGTACAAGTAGTGCAAGATTGCCGTCCACCTCCCCCGGCTTAGCAAATACTCTAAAACCAAGACGACCAACATTGCAAGTTGGAGATTACTTGTAATCGTGCAAGTAGTAGTAGTAGTAGTAGTAGTAGTAGCAGTAGTAGTAGTAGTAGTAGTAGTACTAGTGCGTGGAGATTTGATCTTGATGATGTTCCTTGTCGCTCACCCCACCGAGCTATGTTGAGTAATCCTCTACAGACTCAGCACACGTTCTCTCTCACTCCCACGTATCGTCACTGTCCCAGGGCAGGCAGATCCAGAGCTCGCTTGTTTTGCACCTTCGCGGCCAGCGATGGATCGTCTGTGCTCGGGACGGCTCTGTTCCTCGGAAGGTCACAGAAGACGAAAGCTATTCTAGCTATCGGCAATGCTTTCTGGAGCTTGTGCTCATTCTTGAGCCAAAGTTGCATGGGCGGAATATGATAAAGTGGCTCGACATTGTGGTATGCGTAGTATGACCACAAGCCTACACCTAGAGATGGAAGACGCGTGGCGTACTTCCATTCTTGACCTCACAGCTGTTATCGTGACACCATAGAACTTGACTAGGCATCGCAGTCCGTTCGCACCCCCCATGAGTTGCGTCTCCGACGCTGCTCACCCGGAAGATGGCGCGATAGGAACACTAGGGATTAGTCCGCCGCAACTTCGAAATATGGATTCAGAGCCTTGCATCCCAATTAGAAATGGTGTGACCCTCATCTACGTCAGTGACGATCCCCTGAAATGACAAACGAATCAGGCGTCACCGAAGAAAGCATTCGCAGTGAAAATCACGGGCGATGCGCAGAGGTCACATACTGGACGAGGTAGCAGGTCACGTGTTGTCCCGCATCCATCTGCGAGTTGATGCAGGATCACGTTCCCAGGGCCTGAGGTTTTCCTCTGGATTTGGGGCCCTTTGCTTCCCCTTGTCTTTGCCTTTGGTTCTGCCCTTCCCGACGATGTAGTCGTGATAGGTGTTGGCATTCCAACCTCCGTGCCTTTCACTCCGTTCTCGGGTCCTCGGGCCGGCCTTGGCTTTGGCAGCGCGTTCAGTTTCTTCCGCCGTAACAGGTGTATCCATGATGGAAGTCTGCCCTCGCGGGAGATACTCTTCGGCTGAAATATGATGTAGGGCTTCAGGACGACGTGCATTCGGGTTCCTCTGTCTTTCGACCCTACTTGCCGTAAGCTTGGTCATAAAGTGTGACGGCATTTGGATGCTGTGGTCGACAAGCAATCCGATGGTGTCCACGGAGTAATCCGCATGCATCAGCAGGATCCCCACCGGGTCGATGTATAGAAATTCCACTGGTCCAGTCGGCGTAGGTCGAAGAATAGAGAATTGCGAGTGTCCTGTAATCATGGGAATAATTTCGCAAAGAACGTTCGAGCAACAGAAGTGCATAACCTTCACATTGGAGTCGCGCTTCAGATAGGTGCTCGGGTCAAACACGTCTCTGCCAATCCCCATC